GGTTGTCTCCTGACATCTTTCTGAACAGCGACCGATGAGACGATGACTAGCTGATTGACGCCTCTGCGAAAATTGGGGAAGTTGGGTTTGAGCAAACAACCATGAATTGATCGTTCAATCTTCAACTACATTGACACTCCCCGGCAAAAAAGGGATCCATCCTTTTTTTCCATCACGACCGATACACGTTGACTTTGGTGCCATTTCGAGAACCTGGGTCACACGGACAGAGCTGAAATGGAAAACAAACAGAAAAGCCGACACACCACAAGCATACTCACAGCAGATTTTTACACATCGGTGAAGACCTGCGCCTTCCAGTTAAGGGTATCCTCTTGACATCTTGCAACACAACCGCCACTTGCTAGAATGACTCTTGCAGAATTCAACGTGACCTCACGATACTCTACGCACATCGTCTTATCTACTCACTACCAATCACCACTGCAATCGCCTGTCACTCATTCTGCCTCAGTTCTAGTAACGGTGACGTATGCGAGCCTCAGTCGTCTACACTCTTTCTCCCCGGCGTGTGGGATCACAGCTAATCATTAACTCCGTATGCATTTTATTCTCAGCAATAGCCTCCCCGGCGTATACGACCCATCTGCTGTCTTTAACATCAATCAATTCATTCACGGATGTAGAAGACAAGAAACAACTTCAGAAGTAATCACGACGAAAATTTTAACAAAATTATGCAATAAAAACAAGGTACGAAAACAACACGTAAACACAATTAATCCAAAATCACAAATTGAGAAGACACATCACACGTATATGCAAACAGTACAAATAACCTCGCGGATCATGTCTTGGTGGAATTATTTTGAAGAATCGCAGGACTTACACCAGTACGCCTGCAACCCTTCACAGGTTGACGATTGTAAGTTGTGGAATGTCCGGACACAAACAAGATTAACCAACAATTACAATAACTGGAACTCACACAATTATTTAACACAAACATATGTACAATCAACACATCAAAGTGGCGGATTCTACCTTGACGAACTACCCTTGAAGAACTGTAGGACTTACAGCAGTACGCCTACATTCCTTCTCAGGTTGATGATCCAAGTGGAAGTCGTCCGGACATAAACAGAATTACCAACAGCTAGATGACAGATGATATCAATTCAGTATATACAATATGAACATATGTACAAGATCATACACCAAGCACATTGGACTGCTCATTGATGCGCTACCCTTTGAAGAACTGTAGGACTTAAGGCAGTACGCCTACAACCCTTCTCAGGTTGACGCCCTAGGTTGGAAAATCGTCGCAGAGTTCATTTGCTAACTTCCTTCTATCAGCTATATCCTCAAATCTGAACGGCAACACGTCCATGTCATTGTATCGTAGAATATAGATAACCAACAAACACACGACATATCTCATCAACCAAGTATAGAAACAGATTAATTTACACCAAAGATAATAGCATTCAAATAGTAACTTGAAACTAGAAATGCCTTTATTCATGCAAGTCAATTTAACAATTACCCTCTCGTTTACACTTGGCTTATTCTCACTAAACTGAGCAATATCTTTCGTCTTTTCAAATGCACCAATACTATCATAGTCATTGCACAAGATACTTGAGTTGATGGGCATCTGTTTCATTGTGGATGAAAACACCAACGATGACTGAGTGACACAAAGTGATGAAGTTAGCGGTGGATCAGAAGCTGTTCTTTTTCGGCTTTCAGATAGTTGTCCAACTGCAAGATTACCACCACTGCTGTCTTTCACTACTAGTTCGGGTTTAGCACTATCATCTGATGATAGATGGGCTACATGCTGATCAATCACACTGACGGCCTCACAAGTATGTATGCCTTCTGCAACTGCATCTGCATTTATTTCTACTTCACGTTGTAGTTGTTCAGAACCTTTGTTCAACTTAGCAGTAGTAGGCATATCCCTCATCTCATCATGATCAACCAAAGACAAATCTGCGCTATCATGATCATTACCACAAATATTCAATTTACCGTCAAGTTCATCATTTTCAAACTCTTTAATAACAGAAGTAGACAATTTTGGTTCCTCCTCACAAATCCTTAAAGGTTCTATACCCTCACTCTGACTAGTAATACCTTGTAAACTTGTGGAGTCAGAACTGCACTCTGAAGCAGCAACTCTATTCTGTGACACTCTATTCAACAATGGCTTACCAGTTGCAACTACAAACTTCTTGACCGCACCGTTATCGTCACACAATTCGGAGTCAGGCCTGGAGTTTACATTTAGCTTATCACTGAACTTGCTCACTGGTTCACAGTTCACCTTTGTATGCACCTCTTGCAAACGTGTAAAACACAACCGTGCTTGTCTTGCATCTTGTAAATTATCTGTTGAGGATGTACTACGAAACCTGTTACACTCACTAGGTCTATATGCATTACTAGACATCATGGAGCCTTCTCGATATCCACCTCTCTGATGCCTATTCGTCATCAATGATTGCATTTTGCACTCAGACTGCTCTATTCTAGGGGTGAGATTCAATATACTGGCAAAATTGCTCATAGATTGATTGACACTATCTTTTACTAGTTTCAGGATATCATCAAACCTTGGCTCGATACCCTCATCCTCCATACGGGAGCTTATCTTCACCCACTTCCTTTGCAGTCGGGTAGGTAGACGTCTTGCTATTACTTCTAGTATAAAACTCGAGTTGAGGTCACTCATTCGATTCATCGAAATCATTCCATTCTTGTAGATTAGCAAATTATCCAAAAACTCAGTGAGTGCCTGGGAGTCATCCTGTAATTGACCACCATTACCCTTAACAGCCTCGAATAATTTCCCTGCAATCATCGAAGGTCTTCCAAAACTTTGACGTAATATGCTCATAGCCTCAGCGTATCCCTCATTAGGGGGCATGAGCTTACAGCACTGTATAGCTCTTGCAGCATCTCCAGTGCAATACCTCATCAAATACATCAATTTCAATTCATCACTCAATAAAAAACTACTCAGCATGATCTCAAACTCCTTTACAAATTGTAAATAATCAGCCGGGTTTCCATCGAAACACAGTGGTTCAAATTTAGGGAGTTTGATGTTCCTATTATCCCTGAACGGCGAAACAGTAACATCAACCATGTCATGCTTAACATCAGACACATCGTTGCAATTAAAAGACAAGTCAACATGACTTACTTTCCTGTTTGCATCCAAGACACTCTGTCCCTTCTTTGACCCAGGCATTGTTGAACTTGACCCAATTCCAAAAATGTTCCAGATATTGATTGTTCAAAGAGGACTTGACCGGCACCAGGAGAGATGAACGGTGACTATCCAAACTTTCACCAACTGTCTGAATCCGCCAGAATCTGTTTCCACCGTCTGAAACTGTCAGCCACGTCTCATAAACCGTCAATGCCCAGCTCTTGCTACGCTGGGACTCACGTTGTTCCTTGAATTTTCTCAGAAACGCTTAGTAATAACGGACGCAAAAACCAAAACCCAGTGTGGCGACTAGAGAATTATTTATTCTAACACCAACGTATACCATTGTACAACTAAGCTTTACAACTAAGGTCTATGAACAAATATTACAATAAGAAATCACAATATTACTTCTGACGGTTGTCTCCTGACATCTTTCTGAACAGCGACCGATGAGACGATGACTAGCTGATTGACGCCTCTGCGAAAATTGGGGAAGTTGGGTTTGAGCAAACAACCATGAATTGATCGTTCAATCTTCAACTACATTGACACTCCCCGGCAAAAAAGGGATCCATCCTTTTTTTCCATCACGACCGATACACGTTGACTTTGGTGCCATTTCGAGAACCTGGGTCACACGGACAGAGCTGAAATGGAAAACAAACAGAAAAGCCGACACACCACAAGCATACTCACAGCAGATTTTTACACATCGGTGAAGACCTGCGCCTTCAGTTAAGGGTATCCTCTTGACATCTTGCAACACAACCGCCACTTGCTAGAATGACTCTTGCAGAATTCAACGTGACCTCACGATACTCTACGCACATCGTCTTATCTACTCACTACCAATCACCACTGCAATCGCCTGTCACTCATTCTGCCTCAGTTCTAGTAACGGTGACGTATGCGAGCCTCAGTCGTCTACACTCTTTCTCCCCGGCGTGTGGGATCACAGCTAATCATTAACTCCGTATGCATTTTATTCTCAGCAATAGCCTCCCCGGCGTATACGACCCATCTGCTGTCTTTAACATCAATCAATTCATTCACGGATGTAGAAGACAAGAAACAACTTCAGAAGTAATCACGACGAAAATTTTAACAAAATTATGCAATAAAAACAAGGTACGAAAACAACACGTAAACACAATTATCACAAATTGAGAAGACACATCACACGTATATGCAAACAGTACAAATAACCTCGCGGATCATGTCTTGGTGGAATTATTTTGAAGAATCGCAGGACTTACACCAGTACGCCTGCAACCCTTCACAGGTTGACGATTGTAAGTTGTGGAATGTCCGGACACAAACAAGATTAACCAACAATTACAATAACTGGAACTCACACAATTATTTAACACAAACATATGTACAATCAACACATCAAAGTGGCGGATTCTACCTTGACGAACTACCCTTGAAGAACTGTAGGACTTACAGCAGTACGCCTACATTCCTTCTCAGGTTGATGATCCAAGTGGAAGTCGTCCGGACATAAACAGAATTACCAACAGCTAGATGACAGATGATATCAATTCAGTATATACAATATGAACATATGTACAAGATCATACACCAAGCACATTGGACTGCTCATTGATGCGCTACCCTTTGAAGAACTGTAGGACTTAAGGCAGTACGCCTACAACCCTTCTCAGGTTGACGCCCTAGGTTGGAAAATCGTCGCAGAGTTCATTTGCTAACTTCCTTCTATCAGCTATATCCTCAAATCTGAACGGCAACACGTCCATGTCATTGTATCGTAGAATATAGATGACCAACAAACACACGACATATCTCATCAACCAAGTATAGAAACAGAGTAATTTACACCAAAGATAATAGCATTCAAATAGTAACTTGAAACTAGAAATGCCTTTATTCATGCAAGTCAATTTAACAATTACCCTCTCGTTTACACTTGGCTTATTCTCACTAAACTGAGCAATATCTTTCGTCTTTTCAAATGCACCAATACTATCATAGTCATTGCACAAGATACTTGAGTTGATGGGCATCTGTTTCATTGTGGATGAAAACACCAACGATGACTGAGTGACACAAAGTGATGAAGTTAGCGGTGGATCAGAAGCTGTTCTTTTTCGGCTCTCAGATAGTTGTCCAACTGCAAGATTACCACCACTGCTGTCTTTCACTACTAGTTCGGGTTTAGCACTATCATCTGATGATAGGTGGGCTACATGCTGATCAATCACACTGACGGTCTCACAAGTATGTATGCCTTCTGCAACTGCATCTGCATTTATTTCTACTTCACGTTGTAGTTGTACAGAACCTTTGTTCAACTTAGCAGTAGTAGGCATATCCCTCATCTCATCATGATCAACCAAAGACAAATCTGCGCTATCATGATCATTACCACAAATATTCAATTTACCGTCAAGTTCATCATTTTCAAACTCTTTAATAACAGAAGTAGACAATTTTGGTTCCTCCTCACAAATCCTTAAAGGTTCTATACCCTCACTCTGACTAGTAATACCTTGTAAACTTGTGGAGTCAGAACTGCACTCTGAAGCAGCAACTCTATTCTGTGACACTCTATTCAACAATGGCTTACCAGTTGCAACTACAGACTTCTTGACCGCACCGTTATCGTCACACAATTCGGAGTCAGGCCTGGAGTTTACATTTAGCTTATCACTGAACTTGCTCACTGGTTCACAGTTCACCTTTGTATGCACCTCTTGCAAACGTGTAAAACACAACCGTGCTTGTCTTGCATCTTGTAAATTATCTGTTGAGGATGTACTACGAAACCTGTTACACTCACTAGGTCTATATGCATTACTAGACATCATGGAGCCTTCTCGATATCCACCTCTCTGATGCCTATTCGTCATCAATGATTGCATTTTGCACTCAGACTGCTCTATTCTAGGGGTGAGATTCAATATACTGGCAAAATTGCTCATAGATTGATTGACACTATCTTTTACTAGTTTCAGGATATCATCAAACCTTGGCTCGATACCCTCATCCTCCATACGGGAGCTTATCTTCACCCACTTCCTTTGCAGTCGGGTAGGTAGACGTCTTGCTATTACTTCTAGTATAAAACTCGAGTTGAGGTCACTCATTCGATTCATCGAAATCATTCCATTCTTGTAAATTAGCAAATTATCCAAAAACTCAGTGAGTGCCTGGGAGTCATCCTGTAATTGACCACCATTACCCTTAACAGCCTCGAATAATTTCCCTGCAATCATCGAAGGTCTTCCAAAACTTTGACGTAATATGCTCATAGCCTCAGCGTATCCCTCATTAGGGGGCATAAGCTTACAGCACTGTATAGCTCTTGCAGCATCTCCAGTGCAATACCTCATCAAATACATCAATTTCAATTCATCACTCAATAAAAAACTACTCAGCATGATCTCAAACTCCTTTACAAATTGTAAATAATCAGCCGGGTTTCCATCGAAACACAGTGGTTCAAATTTAGGGAGTTTGATGTTCCTATTATCCCTGAACGGCGAAACAGTAACATCAACCATGTCATGCTTAACATCAGACACATCGTTGCAATTAAAAGACAAGTCAACATGACTTACTTTCCTGTTTGCATCCAAGACACTCTGTCCCTTCTTTGACCCAGGCATTGTTGAACTTGACCCAATTCCAAAAATGTTCCAGATATTGATTGTTCAAAGAGGACTTGACCGGCACCAGGAGAGATGAACGGTGACTATCCAAACTTTCACCAACTGTCTGAATCCGCCAGAATCTGTTTCCACCGTCTGAAACTGTCAGCCACGTCTCATAAACCGTCAATGCCCAGCTCTTGCTACGCTGGGACTCACGTTGTTCCTTGAATTTTCTCAGAAACGCTTAGTAATAACGGACGCAAAAACCAAAACCCAGTGTGGCGACTAGAGAATTATTTATTCTAACACCAACGTATACCATTGTACAACTAAGCTTTACAACTAAGGTCTATGAACAAATATTACAATAAGAAATCACAATATTACTTCTGACGGTTGTCTCCTGACATCTTTCTGAACAGCGACCGATGAGACGATGACTAGCTGATTGACGCCTCTGCGAAAATTGGGGAAGTTGGGTTTGAGCAAACAACCATGAATTGATCGTTCAATCTTCCAGTACATTGACACTCACTCTATCTTTTCCTTAGGTCACCTTTATTATTCCACTTATCTCAACGCATCTCGTCTACAATACAACCTATTATTATTATTACTATTATGCTTTTATGACTTCACCGAATGACCAACGGGAGTTTGGTGAATCTCCATTCACGGCAGAAACACTGTCCTAAAATACTGCATACTACAAACCACATCTTGACCTATCCCCGCACCTCTACCTCACAACCAAGAAGCGAGCTCAAATAAATCACTGGTTTATACTAGCTCGCAATCAGGATATTGGATATTGAACTTAGGGCACATTGCAGATAATTTGGGACAGACTTCGGGCGCATTGCAGACTTTTTGGGGTTGGCTTAGGGGCACGCAAGTAGATGCGCCTGAGGTGCTTTTCCCCAAAATGTCTGCACTGCACCCGAAAATAATGCTAGCTGTATACATTAGTTGATCACTTTGGTTTACTATCTGGCTCGGTCAAGAAGGGAACAGAACATACATATGGTCAAATGGAGAAGGAATAAAATACATTCCTAGTCCCCCTCCTTTAACTAAAGAACTGAAATCTGAATCCGCATTCGATTTCGTTACTATGTCCCAAGGTTGTTGAGTTTGTGGCCGGTACTTTCAAACGGGAGTGCAACGGCTGCGAATGGATTTGCATATCTGTTATTGGGTTTGTGGACATAATTGAGAACATCATCAGTAGTGATGGACAAATTAATCGCCGGCGTACTTATCAGTGACCATCCTGAAAGTATTAAGATTTTGCTTCTGAGAAAGCTGCGGGATCATGTGGGTAAAATCGATAATACAGACAGTCTCAAAGATGCTATAGTAATTTGTATAACATACATTCATGAAAATCCAGGAATCACTGATTCATTTTCTAATGAGGTATATAGTCTTCTAGTTTCAATCGAAGCCCGCCTTTCAGACGAGTCTATAGCCTATGTTTCTCAAAAGGTTACAGATTCGTTTGGTCATAATATCCCTCATTCACTTCCCGCAATTTTAGCCAATTACGTAAAAAATATTTTCAAGCGCCACGTTATGGTTTGTTTTCAGTCAGTTGTAAGAGACACAAGACAGCTGATATCATTACATGCAGGACTTGATAATGTTTTAAAACACAATCTTATGGATAATGATGAGCAATTGTATTTATGTGTTCAGCATACACTTGACAATTTATCAACTCATGAAATGGGTGGATATGATATCTCTGACGAAAATTATCTTGATCTGGTATCTAAAATGTTTCAAATACTACTTGGTCTTTGCTCACAAGTATTTCTGGAAAATATTTCGTGTAATTCACTAGAAGCTGAACTTGCTCAGTGCATCTCACGCTCAATAATCAAGTTTGCAGCACAACCTAGTCTTTCAGCCTCTTCCAAACTTAACGCTGGTGTGCTTTCAGAACATGTTAATTCCCTCGTACAAGATGTGCTTGTGGATACTGATAACGCTTACCATTATATTTCGGTTTCTTCCATTTTGTCTGAACTCCAAAATTTCTGCCCTGATAATGCAGTATTGTCAGAAACAATTTGTGGGTTTATTGATCAACTCAGCCAGCGTCACATCAACACAATCGAGTCTTGCTTTTCAGTATTGCGCCGTTTGACTGCTTGGCTCACTTGGCCTGAGATTACTACACACCGATCTGCACTGGATATTTGGCTCATTGGGTTCCAGTGTGAAATGTTCAGAAGATTTTCACCAAAGGGTTCACAGTTTTCCGTCAACTTTTGGTCAGAATTCATTAATTGGCAGCTGAAATTCCTTCTGGAACTTATGAATCGATCACAGCTTCCACATGAGTCGACTATAAATGCTTTGGCATTTCTCATCCTTTGTGAAGAAGGCAGGCGTGATAGGTGTGTTTATGATACTGTTTCTCAGCTGGCACCAGTTTTGAATAAACTTATTAGCATGTATGCTTCTGATCGTTTAAATGAAAGCTACAGAGATATCTTACTCCGGCTGTATGCTGTTTCAAGACTTTTGAATGTTATGATTACTTCAGAAAGTCATCTATCTAAAGCATCTGCTCTCAACAGAAAATTTCTTACTGATCTATTGGGAAAATTTCATAGTAACTTCAAAGATGATGATGTTGATGTATGGGATTCACGTTCGAATATATACAAACTAGAAGTATTGACTAAGTTTGCATCTCAAGCTGGCATTCGTATTAGAAAGATTTGGGAACGTTGGGATTTGACGTCAAGTGTTCAACTGATAAACACATATCCAAGCATTTCACAGGTGAGAATTTTGCTCAAATTTTTGATATTTTATGGTTTTGGCACCGCTTGTTCATGTTGTATGCTTTTTGATGTGACATTAAGTTCGAAAGCTTCTTATGCCGGATTAAAATAACGATTTTGCTAGATATGATAGTAATCGAGAACGTCACTGAGTGATCAAGTGCAATAGGGTTAGACTGTGAACAGTGCTTTCTATATGAATGACTGTAGTAGTAGTTATAGAACAAATCAAAGGCTGGCTAAGTTAAACTCTAAGCACCACTTACTACCAATAGAGTGCGGCGGCACCAATAACCTTAAAACGGCCACTGAGCAAGTCAAATCTGGTATCATCAATAAAATATACTCATCGAAGTCTTATGCTATTAAATGAGATTTCTGGGAAGTTTCAACTAAGGTTGGGGCAAGATTAGTTTGCTCTTCAAGCCAAGGACAAGTTAGGACTAGGTTAACCTAATAAGGGTCACATTAGTGTTGGTTCGGGTTAGATTACAGTTAGTTTAGGGATATTTTCACGTTAGGGTTGGGTTCAGGAAAGATTAGAACCATTGTTAGAGCTAGAAGATCTAAATGATTACACTCAGGATGTGGTTAAATTACTCCGTTGATATAAGGATAGAACTTGTGAACTGTGGTGGTGTAGTATAATTTCGATGTGGGTAACATTTATTTTGGTAGTGTCATGGTGTTACACAGTAACATTCACTGATAAAGTTTTGAGCACAATTTATTGATCAGAAAATAGTACTATATTACACTGTGAGACTATCAAAATAAATTTTAGCCACAATGGAATTATACTCAGTTGGTGCTCCAACCCGAAACTGAGAGCTATTTTTATCACATGTGAGAGCAAAGTATCCTCTGTAACACTTTTCTGCAGGTTTTATTCATTTAGTTCATAAATATATGTATTCCATACACAAAATTGCCTCCTTCAGGTGATCGGTACATTCTAGGTCATTCGCTGATTGGTGATGCTTAAAGTCTAACTTTCCCCAAAGACTTCATGTTCTGTTCGAAAATCTAGCTCCTAAATTAATGAGTCAGCGATGCAGTTACCACACAGTATCTGACACAGAGTAGAAATATTCAGTTCATCTTCGCGAAAGGGTAAAGGTTACGCCCGAAATTCTGTTTACGCATCAAAAGCATAGTCAACGAAAAGGTGCACAATATGCTCATTTTCGTATCTGTTGTCACTTGTAGTCAATTAGAAATATGTGCTTTGGCCGCAGTTTTTGCTAATTTATTTATGAAGAAATTAAGAATCAATTCCTATAAGTAACTAAATGGAGATTTCTGTTTAATAATTAATAAGTTAAAAACTTTTGATCCGTTTAAGCATAGTTTGTGGTTAAATTTGGTTGTTTTTCTATTTCTCAATCAGAAGTAATTGAGTATTATTTTTATATGTTTTAGGGTATTTTCATATTAATTCATTGATGCAATATCTGGTCTTCACTATTATGAACTTATTTTACGTCTCTGTATAAAATTCTACTGGCTTTCATTTGAATTGCAAGATTTGTTGCAACCAATCAAGTAGCTATGTATTGCCCCAGTGAGGTGAATTATTCTTCTGTGTTCCTAGAGGTTTACTGTATGTTGACTCGTGATTCCTTTTAACCATCTACATATAAAGTAGTTTAGAATCTAAAGGTTAGTGGTTGTTATTGCTTGGTATTCGGTTGAATGGAGATAGTAGTTCCCAGACTTCCAGTAAATTATCTTTCAGGCAGCAGACTTGGCAAGTATGTCCAAACCAAGTTCACTTTTAATAGTTTGAAAAATTTGGGTATTGGGTAAAGGATATTCATTATAATAAAGGTTTTCTTGTATTTCCCAATCAATGAATGAAAAACAAAACGATATTGTTGTTTTTACTGACGTTTCACTATTTAATGCTACTGTTGATGGCTTTATCAAAGCAGTATTATTAAACCAGAATTTACAAAATCTCAGTTTATATATAACAACTAAATCATCGTTCCTCAGCATGGGGGCATTTTTGCGTTGTCAAATCGGCCAAATCCTAAAGATAATAAAACCAGGTGTAGATTGTTGGATTTGATAAGTGTGTAAAATTATAAAAGCAGCGTATGTTTGCACATATTAGACGTTCTTCGTGATTTCTGAGATTCTTCTGGATTATTTCAATATTGTCAAAATCAATTTTGTGGCCTGATTCTATAGCGTGTACATCTATGGCTAATAATTTTTGTTCAGCCGGACTTCTCGGTGGTCGAAGAGATGTTCTACAATGTTCGTTTCTTTTGATTTTGATTTCTCGAGATGTGATGCGATGTACACCGGACAAATATCTCGAGAAATCACAATCACAAGAAGTAAACATCGTAGAGCCGCATCTGTTCGACCACTGAGAAGTCCAATTGAACTAGAAAAGCTTGAAAAATTACCGGCCATGGATCTGTCTGCAAGCTATAGAATCAGGTCACAAAATTGATTTTGACAATATTGAAATAATCCAGAAAAATTTCAGAAATCACAAAGGATATTTAATATCATAAGCACTTCATATCAAGTGGAATCCAAAAAATTGTCTGAATAATTTGAATGATAGACTAAAACAGAATTCGACCTGGTTACAACACCCCCGCCCTCCTCCATGAAGTGGCAAAATCAACATGAATGTGATAAGCAATTTCATTATGTAAACACACGCTGTTTTTATAATTTTAAACACTTATCAAATCCAGGAATCTACACGTGGTTTTGTTATCTTTACCAGTTGGCCAACTTGACACCGCGAAAATGAGCTCACTGTGTGATTTATCTAAATAAAATCTTATCCTTAATGCAATTATACCCTACCCCAGTGCCCAGGTTTTATACTTATATCAAGAAAGATGATTAAATTATTATATATAAGCTGAGATTTTGTAAATTCTGGTTTAATAATACTGTTTTGATAAAGCTATTAGCAGCAGCATTAAATTACTTTTACTTTACTTCGGCTATCTCCTACGGGAGGATGAGCTGGCTTCATGAACTTCTCGAATCATCGCTGCCCAGGCGCGGCAATCTGATGCAAGGTTTTGCGACAGGGTTATCCAATTATTGTTCCACAGACGGAGTCCGTAGACGGTTTGTAGCCCCAGGCACTCCATATCAGCCTTGACTGTACCAAGCCATGCGACATCGCCAAGATGGAAATGGCGAGGGATTTAGAACAGATTTGACCAGATCGTCATCTGGTTGGCGCAGAACATGGCCAAACCACCGAAGGCGACGTTGTTGGACCAGTACTGGAATTTGGTTGATGTTGTAGAGAGTTCATGAAGTTTCATGGGAATTAGGTACGAGTGATGTCCCCAGCAGCATTAAATAGCGAAACGTCAGTAAAAACAACGATATCGTTTTGCACTTTTTCATTCATTGGGAAACACAGAAAGAAAACCTTTATTTAGTAACTTTTTTTTTCAAAAGCTGGATTGTGCTCCCTTTTTATGTTAAAAGGCCCAACTTATTTCTCATCCAGAACATCATTCTGGATCTCACCTCTAGCGACATGATTACACTTACACACTATTACTCTGTGTAACTTATCCAAGTCGTGGTATCGGTAAATAATACTTTTATTTAATTTCTCTTTTGTTTATTAGAAAGCCAATCGTTCCGTTACCGGATATAGTGGTTTACTGAATGTTGGCAACACATGCTATGCAAATGCAGCTTTACAATTACTTTATCATTGTTCAGAGTTCCGTCGTGCATTACTTGATTTTCATCGGCCATATTCATCAACTAGTAAAATAGTTACCTCGTGCTCTTCACTTTCAACAAATCTATCTTCATATTCACAAAATTCAAATGTAAACTCATCGAATAATCTTAGTTTACAAGCTGCACACTTCTGTGATAATGTACATCGATCAGATAACGGATCAGTACCATTCGGAAATGAAGGAAGTTTACATGCCCATCTATTTTCTCTTTTTCATTCTCTTGATACACATCAAGTAAGTTAATGAAAAAATTGTTTTACTTGATTCTCTTTTTTGGAATGTACTTTATAATATTTCAAAATATTGATTTTATTGACAAAATATCCAGATTAGTGGTAAAATTTTGAAACAAGTAATTCAGGTAATTGAGGGAAACAGTATTTAGTTAATTTGCAGACTGACTGTAACTTAATTCCACTGATCACTGTACGTACTTGATTTTATTTTTTATATTAAAGCTTGGCATACACATGGCAACAAATAAAAGCCTAGTGACATAGATGGAAATATCTATTTACCATGTTGAATTGTGAAGCCTTTGAATGTGTGCTATTGGATGCCTAAAATTGGGTAGATAAAACTTGAGCTGTGCTTATTTTAAAAAGAGTTTGGTGGTTTCATTACGACCATCAGTTTCTTATCATGTAATAACCTCTCATAATTCAGTATGCTTGGAATTGACTAAGGAAGACTTATCTGGTTGGCTAGTGGAATGATAAATGGCCAGTTAGGTATCATTCACTTATCCGATAACTAAACACTAATCGTGGTGAGACGAGGACCTGGTTAACGGCTGAATGCGGTAACTCACTTAATAGTGTTTCAGGTCAGTAATCTGGAAGTCAGTGGTTTGAAACCTACCGTGATACGGATCTTCATTTCACCATCAATTATAAACCATTACATTGATTTGTTAGTTGATGAGTCGGCTTTCCCCTATAAATATTGCTTTAATTATTCACCAGTGACATTCTACTTACCAAGATTTGGATAGAAAGAGCTTTCACCGTACATGTGTCTGATTGTTTGGTGCAAAGCCTTCACATTAAATTCACTTAATTTTTAGCATTAGCTAACAGTTGTTAGTTCAACACCTCGAATTGACTAAAGTGCGTTATTTAAATTACCTACAAAAAGAATTTACAACACACTATTATTAATTTTTAAATATTTAGTTGATGTAGCGTGAGGAACGCGGAACGCACTATACAAAATGACATAACGTTATAGGCAAAAAAGGAGCGAAACGGTTGTTGTTATTATTCATTCTTTGCGTCCCAAATGGGGCATAGGTCTCCAGTGGCACATCGTGAATTGCACTTAGGTCTCTGCCATCACTTCTGATTGGTTTCACGACTGTCTAAAAGCTTATATTTCCTCTTAACATGATTTGCATATCAACCTGAGATGCCTAACACAACCCATAGATTTCCATTCAGGTTTCACTTGAGCATCTGGTGTAGGATATTGTCAGTCGAAGTTTTCTTAAGCGTGTATCCAATCCATCGTTAATATCCAGCACATTTATTGATTAATAAGTGCTTAGCTTGTTCTCTTCACTAAAAGAAATCCTTGTTGTTTATTCATTCCGGTTCACCATATGGTCTTTAGTGTCAACCGAAGACTGTGTGCGGTGATGGTGATGCGTAGTGTTGCAATGAGTTTCGTGAAGGAAAAGGTAGTTTAAGAATAACGATCAACAAATGAACGTTTTTATGTAGTTAAGTCAGGGTTTCATCTGAACATTGCTTTCATTAGTATGGGAAATATGAAACATGATCATCACTCATTTTAACTCGGAGTCATTGCATGATACTTCTGGGATATACATTTGATTTTTTATTATTTGTTATTCTGTTGGGTTCCTAGTGGAAAGTAGGGCTTCAACAACACATCGTCATTCCATCCTTTTTCTCTTCAGTCCTCTTCAACTAACTCCACGATTGCTAACAAGCTGTCATCTCCTCCTCCTTGTCACACGATCTCCTCCATTTCACCCTTGGACCTACACCCAACTCGTTCTATTTCCCATTCGGGTTCCACTCGAGGGTTGGTCTGGCATGCGATGTCATTCAGCTGTCTCCTCAGTGCAGTGTGTTCGATCCATCTCGATTTTCTTCAGGAAATTTTTTGGGCATTGGGCTGTTGGTTGGTTAGTTGGTTCATTTCCAGAGTTATTTTGTTAATAATTCAATATGGAGCGAGCAAAGGCAGCTTTTGATGAAAGTCTTCAGCAAGCTGTTGGAAATGATGCTTTCCATGACGCGCCTAATTTCTGACCTATATAGAAAAACTATCTTAACATTAATAATTCATATGAACCGTGATCAAGATTTGATTGGGTAGTTCCGAAAGAGTTGGGCGCCTAGTGAGACTACTTTTCAAGCATTGATTTGTAAGGATTAAGTTTGTTTTTCGAGTTTGCCCACGGATTGATATCAGTTAGAAAACCATGGCTAGTGACTTGCCATGGGAGGGAGTTTCCTGGAGTTCTAGTGATAAGTCGTGACCAGTAAGGTACATCCAGTTAAGTGTGAAGATGGATTTCCTGCCTATCACATTGGTTGGTGGTCGCGCTAGCTCACGAATTGGCAGAAGTTAGAATTCATGGGCTGGCCGGCTATTGAATCGCGTCTCAGTGACTGAATGGTCTACAAGCTTGCCTTGTAACCGGAAGGTCATGGGTTAGAACCCTGGCAGCGGGTGCGTACTGCCGATGATACCCAAACTAGGCTGATGAAACAGCTGTCCAGTACTCTATGGTGGTTTTCAATGGTTCTGTAACTGGTATCAATCCGTGGTCAAATTCCAAAAGAGCACTTTCCAGCACATGCGTTTACCACCAAACTTCCTGTGGCCGAGAATCTGATTAACAGAGCCAAACGTCTAGTTACTAGGGAGGAAGAGATCATCAGAGAACTGAAATTGGTTCAGTCCACTTTTGAATCAAATAATTATCCCAAAGCCTTCATAAAGAGATATATAAAATGTGAAGATAAGGAAGGATGGATCGAATTGGGTTAGTACAGTGGTAATTCCTTACCGCAAAGAAACATTGGATGAAATAAGGTGAATTCTTAGAATCATGACATAAGAGTATATTTTCGTGCAACTAACACCTTATGCTCATCACTGGTGAAGGTTAGGATAAAATAGAAGAAGAAGACAACCAACAGAATTGTGTGTACCAGATGAATTGTGGGGACTGTGACGCCGTATGTGTAGGAGAAACTTCCAGATGGGTAAATGTAAGAGTCAAAACACATAAACCATATTTCCAAAGGTGGTTCCAAGACCTCTGCATACTCAAGAAAGCTAGAAAAAAAGATCAGCGATTTCACTGCATTTGATAGAAACAGGACAGAAAATCGACTTTGATAGGACTAAGGTTCTACACAAAGGTTTTGGTTCGTATAAAGAAAGACTGACTGATTGACTGCAGAAGACCTACATATATGGGTGAATCCCAACAATGTGAACAGACGTGAAGGTGTGATGTTAGCTGATGGATGCATGGCAAATCCTGATTAATAAACAAAATATCGATGTGTATCACTAAATAATATTTCTTGGTCTAAATTCCCGATTGTCTATATCTGCTTATGGATAGGCTAACAAATGTTTTAAAACTATTCACCCATACAGACGCCATTTCATACTGCATACACAAATATATTTTCATAATCAGTTATCTACGACCATGAACTTTTAATCGAACGTAATCACTCAAATTCTGATGCAAAAGTACACTCTGTTTAAAGTGTTTAACAAAAGCAGACTAATATTTGAAAGTTTAAGGTCAAATTTTGATCACAGTTCATACAGTTTTGTTTATTATGCATCTTGATACTTGTTTGATAACTCATATGTTTGGACAAAGTGGTTTTTAAAAACAAGAGATGTTCCTTTTATATATAAACCTCTGTTATGTTAATTTCGATTAATTTTCTATAGTTTGGTTTGTAAGGGTTGGTTATGTTTTTACGAGTTGATCACGGATTGATATCAGTTAGAGTACCATTGAAAACCAGGGAGTACTGGACAGCTGCTGTTTCATCCTAGTTTGGGAATCATCGGCAGTACTCACCCACTGGGATTCGAACCCAGGACCTTGTGGTTACAAGGCAAGCTCGTATACCATTCAGCCACTGGGACGCCATTCAATGGCTCATGAATTCTAACTTCTACCAATTCGTGATTTAGCGCGACCACAACCATTGTCGTTGGTGGGACATCCATCCATACACGTGACATCTAATTGGACCCTTACTGGTCACGACTTCTCACTAGAACTCCAGGAAACTCCGTCCTGTAGTAAGTCACTAGCGAGCATCAGATATCAGTCTGTGATCAACTCGTAAAAACATAGCTAACCCTTACAAACCAAACTATAGAAAATCTTTCAAATTTATTTTGTTGACACTGGCTGATGCTTGTTGTTGTTGTTGTTGGTCGTCTGTTATTCTATGGTATTCACCTTATACAATCGGATACAATAGAAGTCTATCGTGCTTCATCGTCTAGATCTATTCAGCGAAGATTATTGAGTTTTACCGGTGTTGGTTGGTTTAGTGTGCACAATGTTTCGGTTTGACTGTCACTAGTTTTATATATATATATATATATATATATATATATATAACTCCGGTGGGTGAATACTCTGAAGAGTCCCAAACTAGGACGAAACAGCTAACCTGTACTCCCAGGCTTTCTAGCTGATAATAAAATCCTCCATCCAATCAAACAAAATCCCTACAAGACCAATACCTGAAAAAATACATATATATATATATTGTGAGGCAGTAGTACATTTATACATACTTGCTTACATTTCAATAGATCCCAACTGTTCGCGATTTACGAGCTGTTCTCACGGTTACGAAACCGGCACATTTTGTCTCTGGTGAACAACAAGATGCTGCAGAATACTTGAACTATCTTTTAGATCGATTGCATGAAGAAGAGTTACGCTGTAAAAGACGCAAAAGCCTAACGCTGAATACTTGTAGGTAGGTTCAGTATTATTATGCATTGTGTCTGTCGTCTTTTATTCCTATTGTTTTCTTTTTACAATCTGTATATCAATTTTAGAAGCACAGGTTAAACGATTATGTGTATTCTCTTTCAGTTGTTGCTGTCAACAATATCTGTGAACTATTATTATTATTTATTATTGTTCCCTTTGGTTCCTAGTGGAACATAGGGCTTCAATTGCACGTCTCAATTTGCTTCTGTCTTCTGCTATACTTTTCACCTGCATCCATGTTAGTTCATACTGTTTCAACTCCCCTTCACACGATCTCCTCCATGTCACCCTTGGAGACGTCCCACTCGCCGCTTCCCTTTCGGGTTCCACTCGAGCAATGGACTGACGCGCGCAATGTCACCCAGTGGCGGCCTCCTCAGTGAGCGTCAATCCATCTCCACTTTCTCCTGCATATTTGTTGGTTGGCGATTGGTTCTTGTTTTGTTTGTTCCTAGCCATAGTTTCTTGTTTTGGGTGGTTCTTTCCGGCCCGGCCATCTGATCTTCAGTATAGAGCCAGCGAAGACAGCTGTTGTTGGTTGATAAAGGTCTGGTCTGCAACAGGCTTTTGGAAATATTCTTTCTGACCCACCCGCCAAGTTTCTGATCCGTATAGAAGAACTGACTGACTTGACGTTGTTTGCATTGAAAATCCGACCGAATTTTGTTGTTGATGCCTTCTAAACTATATGTGGATTGTATACCAGTGTTAGCATTTTTTCTGTTCCTTTACGTTCCCAGTAGAACATAGGGTCCCCATCTAGAGGCTTGAAGTTTCGGTAGCAGTGGTGTTTAGATTTTACGGGATGGAATTGCAAGCCTCATGCCCAACCTTCCCTCTTTACCCGTCTTGCTACTGGCTTAGTGAGATAAAGGAGTGCGTTGTCGGTCTAGGATCGAACTCCGAACCACGTGTGGCGTGGTTGGCGAGTGTTCTACCGCTGTCCCACCGTCGCACATCAGTGTTAATAGATACGTACTAATTTCAAGATGTGAAAGAGGCTGGAAGTAACCATTGGGATGTAGGCAATAAATAAATGATAAAATAGTTCAATATTATTATATAGTTTGTGAATATTAGTGACAGGTTATTTATTACATAATCGATAGCTTAGAAGACAGCGATCAATAGATAAATAAATGGATAAATAAACAAAGGGAAATGGTGCGTGAATCTGCTAGTTGTCAGTAATTTCTGAATACTAGGCCAAAGAAAATATTGATTATAATTGTAATAATGATAATAACAATAACAATAACAGCACAGGAGTGGTCATCGTCTATGCGGTATTACGTGTTTATTCAGATATGTTACCTGAGAACGACTAGATGCTGTACAAATTTGTTTTGAATAAAGTTTTGAAGTTTTCGAATGGATTCCGACTGGTTATATTCGGCGGTATCTGAAATGAGGAACTCATAAAGTAGTGTAATAGTATGTAGCGACAGAAGACAAGGGCCAAGCAACAGATCGTTTATTGAGAAAACCAAGAGGTATTTATCGGTTTTTATGTAAATTATTATAAGAACAAGACATATAAGCGAACAATATTGTTGTTTTCAATTAGATCTTCAGGCTTTACTCTAATTTACAGAGATTTATGTTCAAGTGTTGGTTTGTAGGGATTTGATTGGTTTCAGGATTTCATCATGAGCTGACATTAGTTAGAGAACCATTGGAAAACTTGGGAGTACTGGACAGCTGTTTAGTCCTAGTTTGGGACTCTTCAGCAGTACGCACCCACCGGGATTCGAACCCAGGACCTTCCGGTTACAAGGTGAGCTCGTATACCTACAAACCAACACTTGAATACCAATGAGGTGCTCACTGGCGACTGGCTCTATTCAGTTAGGTAGTTACCTGGGTTCCAGTGGGAAGTCGTGACCAGTAGGGTGCGGCGGGTCGGGTGTGAGGACAAATACTCGCCGAAGACATTGGCTAGGGGTCGCGCTATGTCGTGAATTGGCAGAAGTTAGAATTCAAGGACCATTGGATCGGGTCCCAGTGGCTTAATGGTATAGAGATTTATGTATAAAAAATTTTTACCCAATGACGATGATTTTGTGGATCAAATAATAATAATAATGTGGTAGAATCCAGAAAAACTTCAGAAACCACAAAGAACGTCTAATATCAGAAGCACTTCATATCAAGTGGAATCCAAATTGCCTGAATAGGAATGATGGATTAAAACAGAATCTAACCTGGCTACAACACCCTCCCCCATGAAGTAGCAAAATCAACGCAAATCTGGTGAGCAAGTTCACTGTGTTGAATAGAATTCACCTAGGCGAAGCAAGGGAGAGACGAAGGTGGAACAAACTTCTTTTGTAGTATGCAAAGACTAGGATTGTTCTCTCGAATTCCCTCCCACCCTCTTTTATTTTCCATCTCCTTCGTAATTATATGATACTTATATATGTCCAAACCAAGTTCACTTTTAAGTTTGAAAAAATTTGGGCATTGGGTATGTAATATTCATTATAATAAAGGTTTTTGTATTTTCCAATGAATGAAAAACAAAACGATATTGTTTCTTTTTTGTTATTTCGTTTAGTGATCTTCATTGTTATTTTGACTTTCAATATGTCCTTTTCACTTAACCTAAGTCCACTTTCTCACCTCTTAACTCTTTGTTATATATAAGCTGAAAGGATTTTGTAAACTCTGGTTTAATAATAATACTTTGATAAGGCTATTAGCATTAAATAGCGAAACGTCAGTAAAAAACAATATCATACATTTGGTTCCCTTCATAAATTTCGATAGAGAAAGAAAGACCAGATTTTCAGTATAAAATGATATCATCATTCTATTTCACAGGTTCTCATCAGCTGCAAACTACCTGAAAATACAGTGGTTGTAAATAATAACATTTCCTATTTCATTGTTTGAAAGGTAATATAGTGTTTTCTCTATTACCTTTCAAACAATGAAATAGGAAATGTTATTATTTACAACCACTGTATTTTCAGGTAGTTTGCAGCTGATGAGAACCTGTGAAATAGAATGATATCATTTTATACTGAAAATCTGGTCTTTCTTTCTCTATCGAAAAACAATATCGTTTTGTTTTTCATTCATTGGGAAATACAAAAACCTTTATTTTATGATACTTATTTAAACTCTGATTATCTGTCCACTTCACCTTTAGTACTAGGTAACTTTTAAGATTTGACCGAATTTATTTATTGAGTTGTCTACATATACACATATTACTACCTCTGTTATTCTTATCGCCACCTGTATAAACCTTATTATCAATATTTTGTTGTCATTATAATCATCGTTATTGACTAAGTTCAAAATATTTATTATTATTATTTCCTTTAATTCCTAGAGGAACATACGGCTTCAGCCGTTCGTCTCCATTGCGTTCGCTTATCTGCTAGAGTTTCCATCTGGGTCCAAGTTTGCCCACATGCTCTTATCTCCTCTTCACATGACCTCCTCCAAGTCACCCTTGCATTGACGACCAACTCGCGGCTTCCCTTTCGGGTTCCACTCGAGCAATGGCTTGTCTAGTGATGTCACGGGCTGGTTTTCTCAGAATATGGCCAATCCATCTCCATTTCTTCCTGTTGATCTTTTCTGGCCATCTGATCTTGAGTAGTATTGAGCAAAGACAGCTGTTGATGAAGGTCTGAAGTTTGTTTGAGATGCTCTTTATGACTCACCAAGTCTCTGATCCGTATAGTAGCACTGACTGGCTTCACATTGGAGTTGAAAATCCGGATCTTATTTTTGACGCTGAGTGCTGTTGACCCCCTCACAGACTTGAGATTAATGAAAGCTTGTCTTGCTTTTCCGGTTCTCGTGTTTATATCCTCGTCATTTCCGTCAGCATGTAGTTGAAACGATGCTTCCCAGGTAGGTGAAGGAGGTAGGTTGTTTCTTTCAGGTTCCTCCCAATTTTGCTTATTATTGTTTGTTGTTGTTGCTGTTGCTGTTGGCCAGGAATATTCACCTCTGTTTTCCCTATGTTCACCTGAAGTCCTATCTTTGATGCCTCTTCTGGCAACTCGTTGTTTTACCACATTATTATTATTATTTGATCTTCAAAATCACCGTCATCCGTTAAAATTTTTTTATATATAAATCTATGTAAATTAGAGTAAAGCCTGAAGAAGATCTAATTGAAAACAACAATATTGTTCGCTTATATGTCTTGTTCCAGTATTATTAATGGTAATATTTAAAGATTTAAATTATTTTTATGAGTTGATCACGGATTGATATCAGTTAGACAACCATTGATGATTCCCATGATTCCCAAACTTGGCTGATGAAACAGCTGACCAGTACTCCCTGGTTTTAGCGATTCTCTAACTGATTTCAATCCGTGATCAACTCGTAAAAACACAACTGATCCTTACAAACCAAACCATAAAAAATTTAAATTATTATTAGCGTTATTGTTAGCAGAGAAGCAACGTCTTATGATTGGTTGTTTTCTTGCTGTAGGTTATTCTGTCATCTGTTTGTGGCCGTTTTTTAGACAATCAGGTCATATATCTGCGAATCGTATTTGCACACGTTAAGTCTGCTGTGATTGGTTGGTGAGCTCCTCAAGATTAAGCCTTGTTATTGATTTTTTCCCATGACTCCGATTCGGGACGTGAACATTGACGTAAATTACTGTCTACAATTTTCGGCTTGCAGCTAGCTCTCACCACAATATGAAGATGTTTTAACATCGATCTAGTGTTCTGTTTGCAGCGTGTGAGTATGGAGTATTAAATTACTATGCTTATAACTAGCTACAAAGGTGGGGCATAGGAAAAAAGAATAAAAAATTTGACCTACGGATAAACAATGTGAATTACGGCAATAAAATATCCTAATAGGTCTTAGGTGGTGTGATATAATTCCACTTGTGGCATTGCTCATCAAATGTTGTCTCAATTATATTACTGTTTTGTTTCTCGAGATTTTAGTAGTAGTAGTAGTGTAGCGACAGAAGGCAAGAGTCAGGCAACAGAT